CGGTACCTGCGGCGCGCCCCCCCGCGCCCCAGTGCCGCCCGGAAACGGCCCCGGACTGTCGGGGCTCCCCCTCCCCCCTGACTGCTTCCAGCTGCGCCCCTGTGGATCACCTATAACCACAGCCACAGCCATTTTGTTGTCCAAGTACTACCTCATCTGTGTTTGAGTACAGGCTTCGGCTGTTTGCAAATGGGTTTTTTCTTGTTTTGGTGTTTTTAGGCTACGGTACAGCAGGTCTTAACTCACAGGTCCCACTCCCCTCAAATAACACCCAGGTTTTCATCTCGCTATGCATAACCCATTACCCATAACCCATGCTTTTCATTTAGTTCTAGTACTGTGTCATATTTGGTTTATTTCTCCATTGAGGTGAGAATAGGAAATAACACTACCGTGAAAATTTTTGTACTCAATATACCTAATTTGGGTGAGGAGTTACAGTGTAAGCCTATGGCTGCAGCTCACACCTATGATGCCAAACATAACCACCGCTGGTGAAGGACTTGGTTTCATTCAGGCAGCCTCACTGACTCCACATGCAGCATTTTTCATACAGCTGTACAGCCCCAGCATGAGCACTGACGATTGAAGTTTTTAGTTCAACAGACACTTTCTCGCAGTGGTGGTGTGGGCTTTCAGTGGTCCCTTCCCCATCCTGCCTCTCCTCCCTGCCATGCATTTAAGACTTGTTGTCACCAGTCACTTTTTGCTGGTTCAAACTGTTGTGGGACAACACTGAACCAAAGTGTGGAATTAATCTAGACTCAAGAAAAAAATAATAGCATTTAGGGCGCACTCAAGGGTTGGAGCAGTGGCCAGAGGGGCAGGACAGGAGTGGCTGAAGTCAGCACTGCTGCCTGGAGAAAGGTACATGGTACTACAGTCTACAATGGATTTAAGTAAATTTCTTAGAATTTCATTGAGACTGGGCTCTTTACAGTGCTAAAATGAATAAATATTTGGGGTAAAGGACAAACGCCCTTTGCCTTATATACACTGTCAACAGATGCAGTATTAAATACAGATAGCATTCACACTCCACTTCTTCCAAAAAGTAGCTGGAATATACAAGTCCCATCATTAATACCCTTTCGTGCCATATGGCCTGGCCAGAGTGCCTCCAGTCATGTAACATTAGCTACAGGAAACTACAGGAACATGATTAAAACAATGAAAAGAGCAGAAAGCTCACCAAAGTACGCCTCAAAAGAGAACCAGTCAGTCGTGGCAGGCATGTTAACAACCAACGTGGAGCAGTCATAGGATGTGTGACCTTAGAGATATTACACACAGAGTTTCCAGAAGCAGGAAGAGTAGTTGTGGTATAATATAAAGCCCTGGCAAGACCTATTCTGGAATATTAAGTACAGTTCTAGCCACCAGTTTAAATTAATCTTCTTACAAAAATGTGTAGAAAGGGTTATTGGAACGATCAGAGTAATTAAGAGTCTATCATATGAGAAGAGCTAGCAAAATTCAGCCTAAACTAAACTCAGTCTAGCAAAATTCAGCTGGAGATTGATAGGATTGATGTTTTTAATTATAAGGAGACATAATCATCAATGAGGAAGAAAAAGAAGAGACATAAACTGCTGATGTTGAGGTTGAAAACCCTGCTCACTACACATAAAACTCTTTAGTTAGGAATACCAAGATGGGACTCCTTAGGAGGAATAATAAATGATGTGAAGTTAATAGTCAGCCATGTTTGGCACTTGTGCTCAAATTCACTGCAAGATAGTTGAGCAAAAGTCTTGACAGCAGCCAAATAGTCTCGTAATTGAAAAAGTTATGCAGCACAGCTTATAGCACGACACTTCTGTGATTACCCGAGACATGTATCTGGAGAGAAGATACAAAAGAAAGGCATGTGAGCACCCAGGAAATCCCCATCAATGAAAATCAACGTAAGATTTCAGGGAAGTACGTGTGTCCAAACATCTAACTAATATTAAACACTGCCACAGGATACACAAGCAATAAAGCAATTCCTAACCACACAACTGAGAAAAAAAGGGGAGGGGGAAACTATTTAATACAAGCTGCCACAAACCAAGCAAAAGAAGTGAAGAAACTTTCCAACTTTAACACATGGCACTAATCTACATGCTGCTTACCATGACACACTGCAGATCTACAGTCTAGGCTCTAACAGAAACAGACCATATGAAGGAAAATTAGCATAAAATCAAAGATGCAAGATGTACCAATTCCTTCCTAAAAAGAAACAATCCAGTGACTTACAGTTTGAGAGAAAGGTTTCCAAAGCCCTCCCAAAGGAATTCTTCCTCCTCCCTACCATATGTATTCAAGAACAACATTATCATTAAACAAATGGTTCCACAATCATCAGAACAGATATGCCTGACTTTCCAATGATCAGCGTCTTTTGTTTGAAAAGTGCAAGTTCTGCTTTGATTACGTCTATACTACCCCTGTGATCTGCACAAAGGAATGAACCCCATCCCTGAGCAACCTATAGATGGGTTTGTCTCTGTTGGCTTGTAGAGTACAAGTCCTGACGCTGCAGAAAAGTAGCCTCCATTCTGCACCAGGGCTTCTCCCCAAGAATGCTACTTATTTTACTCCAGATTGGAGCCAAATCAAACTCATGTACGTAGCATGGACAACTGTCCGCTATGCTCTAGAGGCCTATAGTGAAATAGGAAGAGAGCCAATCTGACAGTATCGAAGTTTTTTCCCAAGGTTGGGAATATATGTAGTTCTCTCCTGTGAATGTGAACTCAGGCTGCAGCTTTACCATAGCAAGGGCTTTCAGATGGTTTCTTCTTCCCTTTTCCCGGCATCTGCTTTCACAAAATTTGTAGAAAGACAATTCTACTTAAGACTTTTACTCCTCTTTCAAAATTTTTTTGTATTAATCAATGGATCCAAAAGTTACGGGTGGAGAGGAAAAAAAGGAGGGAAAGGCACAAACATGATCGTAGAAGACATATTTCCATAGGAAATGAGTAAAAAAAAGACCTGCATGTGAAAGTGCAGATTAAACATCCTCTGTTTCTTTTCCACTTGCTCACCAACACAGAAACGTAATTCTTCTATGACTTTGAACAAGTCACTCTGCCATACAAAAATAATTAAGTCAATCAGGAAAGGTACTTCTTTGCCTCCGCAGTCCCTGTGGATCTTGTTTTATTTCAGCTGCCAAGTAGGGGCTTCCTTTTACTATGTGGTTTTCCAGAATTTAATATAATGCAGCCTTGATCTTGGTTGCACCTTCTAAATACTACAGTGATCCAATTATAACATAGAATTAAAAAAAGTAAGCTATAAGCAAATTAAGGCCTTTAATTAATAAACAGCAAAATACAGATGAAACCTTAATTCTAATCTTTTTAATCCATATATCACTAGTCTTTTAATAAGGCGATCTCCAAATGCAAGCTATCCGCTAAGTAACCAGGAGATAAAAATCATATGTTCCTATATCTACTTATTAGAATTATAAAGACTTGGGCTTTATAAGAGCACAGGAAAATTTGCGACATTTGGAAGAGATCCAAAGCTGTGTATCAATCTTTGGCTTATGTGGAGATCAATCCAACATTTATATAATTTTCAGGATCTACATGTTAAGAGATAACAAACTAAAACAGCGGTTCTCACATGTGGCTATCAGGAGCATAATATGTAGTCACCATGTACAAATAAATAATGACACGATTTCATTTCAACTCTACTGTCACACACAGAAAATATCATAAGTTTACTGAAGGTGCATGTGTAGTGACAACAACAACAATAACAACAACAAAAATTTGTGACCCTCTGCTTTAAATCGTGTATACCTGGCAATAAGTGCACCAGGTGGCTTTAGACTAGCTACAAAAGTATTACAAAAATCCCAGCTGTATAAGGCTTCAGTATTATAACAAGATTATAAACGTATGATGTTCTTGTAACAAAGTCAT